CAGCGGCTCCTCCAGATGGTGTCAAGGATCTGGTGCCAAGAACGATAGCTGAGCTCCTCCCCTCTGACCTCATCCTCTTCTTCCTTCTTCCTCCTCCTCCATAGGCCCTCCACTGACACACCCTGGCCGTACCCATCCCACACAGCCCAGCGCACACTGTAGATCCTGACTGGAGCCTGCCTGACAGTGGGCCCCAGCCCCTAACTGCTCCCTGTTCACACTGGGGATCTGGTCACCACTCCGTCCTCCTCTGCAGCCAGGTCTCCCTACTTGTGTGTTGGCTGTCCCCACCTTATGGCGGCCCTGCCGCTCACACCCACATGTCCCTTCTGCCTGGGGGTGGCGTCAATCCCCTGTAAAATGCTGTCCAAGGCAAATGCCTAGATATGCCCCTGAGTGCTGTGGCTCCTGTTGCTGGTTCCTATACCACTAAAGTATACAACAGCAAACCACAATGCTCAGAGGGAACCAGGTATTCAAGAATTCCAAAAGTGTGTGGGGACCAGGAATCTCCTGTGAACCAATGTTGCTATACTGCTGTGACTGGTGAGAGAACACTGCTATCATTAACCTGTTGCTGCTAACAGCGACTGAGCACATAGGGATTGGCCTTCTAACTAGCAGCATTATTTACAGCATGCAGTATTTACTGGGACTGTACTCAGGTGCACCACAATAAAGACTTGGCCCCAGTGCTAGCTGGCTGAAGAACTAGGGCTAAAGACTGCTAAGATAGCTGCTTCACAAAGACTTTGCCTGTTGTCCATAGTAAGAGGTAGCTGTTTAGGAAGTCTGAAATGTCATTGCTGCCTGTCACCTACCTGGTGGAGATTGAGCTTGAGAGGGGGCTTCTCTTGCACTTGTTGTCAAACACCCATGGTAGTGATGACAGGGAGTGTGAGGACACGAGGGCCGGTGTAGCAGGTAGCGCCAGCTGGGGTTTGCAGGAAGCAGTTGACCGTAGATCACCAGGCAGGGACTGGAACACGATGACACTTGCTTGGCAGACAGAAGTGTAGCCAGGATTCTACCCATGAGGTCATCAACAGTTAGGCAGCGAGGTACAGGAACATCAGGAAGAGACGTTTAGTTTTAGATGCATTCATTCATAAAAGACATTGTTTGGTCATATTCGTTATGTTGAACAAATTTGTTTTTGGGATTCGTTTGATATCTTTGGCATTTGTTTTGTATATTCGTTGGTCTGGGTAGATTCAAAAAAGTTTGCCGTTTTATCAGAAGATGGCAATATATTTCGGATGGATTCGATATTCATATATCAAGACTATTCAGGATTCGAATTTTTAGACACAGTAGAATAAATAATGCAAAATTTGTCAGCCACGACTTTTTCAAGCCCAAGAATTTCTTTGGACTGCGGAACAGAACTGACTGTTACAAGTACAAATTCAATTGAAATCACAAATTGACACAAATCCTGAATTATCGAATGAATTTGAAAATCGAATCTGATTCCCCATGGGCCCAAACTACTATCGCATCATATGACATCATCTGAATGAAACAAATGCAAATCCGTTAATTTCATTATAACTTTTTTCGGATTAGTAACATTCGTTACTATGTCTATTCGGAGATTCATGTGAATCTCTGAAAATGTCGTCCGATTTGCTATTAAACAAAACGCAAGTCTGGTTGGGGGATTTTCGCTAAAATGGAAGATAAGGCACTATTCTTAAAAATGCTCCCTCCCCCCCTCCTCCGACTTGTCCTGCATACCCTGTATAAGAAATGGAATGCTTTTCAAAAAGGCTCTGCACTGGATTGCATGATGCTGCGATGTACTATGTTTGCGATCTGCTTTTGGGATGTTGTTTGAATTATATTGACATCAGCAGGAAATCACACACCTAGGGCCATGGATAAGGGGGCAACCCCAATCCTCCTGTACAGGGCTCGGGTCAACAGGGAAGCACAGGCAACTAGGTGAATCAGATGTGGGCAGGAAGGGTGATCAGCAGGCTGGGGGGGGGGGGGGGGCTGATAGCTGGTTTCTTCTTCTCCCCCTTCTGCTTTCAGCTGCTGCACAGAGCCATACAGGGGATCGGTTCCAGTTATTTCCCTGCACCCCACCGCAACCATCACCCTCCCTGTGCACCACCCCTGCTGCCCAGGCCCCCCTTTGTGTCCCCCACCACTGCAGTGCTTCCAGCTTCCTTCCTCTCCTTCCCACCAGCACAATAGGATCCTTCAGGATGGTGAGTGGGGGAAGAGACCAGTAAAGTTGTCACATTTACCAGCCCCTTCCTTTCCTGAATGAACTCAATGAATTATCAGCACTGATCACTTACTGTGTTCATTCATAACTGAAGCATAGTAAAACGGGGGGGGGGGTGTTGGGGAGGGGGGCTGTCAGATTGGCTGTATGGGACCCTGTGGATTCTAACAGGGGCACTGCATACACCCATTGTGTTTTGGACGTGGCGCACCGAGTTCCAGTGTTAACCAACCCCTAAAGCAGAACTTGAATCTTAAAAATGCCGCCGTCCTCTGCCACGCCCCGAATACCTGTCAGAACTCTGCAGTGCATCTGCACATGTGCAGGGGAAGGGGGGGTGTTGTGCGCATGCTGCTGCCATTGCGGTATAGGGGCATTCTATTTGGCAGCGACTTTTTGTACGCATGTACAGTACACTGCTCCCTGTGATATCTGTGATTTCCCAGGATGCACAGGGGCCGGGCCTAGGGCAAAAAGCAGGAAGTTGTGCCGTGCAGCACAAAGCACACCCCATGGTACACATTCTAATACATTGATGTAAGAAGAATGGGGGGAGACCCAGAAGAAAGAATCTTGTTCTAGTGTTCCTGTACACTAGTGGCTGGAGGTGGTAAGACCACGTGGTCGAGTTGTGATTTTCCTGCCCCCCCAACTGCTCCCCTTTAGCTGAAAAAGCCATGACACTGATGCTTCACAGCCGCAGCAGGATAGGATTTATACCGCGTGTTCTGATCAGCGGGCAGTACCATCCGCTCAGTGCCACCCACTTCACTAAATGGAGTCACCACACCTCTGTGTGTTGCGACTGATGCATTTTTTCTGGCACGCTTTGCAGTGGGTTTTTGACGTGTATTTGATGCACTTTTTTTGCCAATAGGAAAGTATTGACATTGATGCCACTTTTGGTGCGACTTTGATGAGACCTGGATGCAACTTTGGATGGGTTTGACTTTGTTGCAACTTGCATGCGACTTTGGATAGGAGTGACTTGGATGTGACTTTGGATGGGTGTGACTTGGATGCGACTTTGGGTTGGTGTGTCTTTGATGCAACTTGGATGGGTATGACTTGGATGTGACTTTGGATAGGAGCAACTTCGATGCGACTTTGGATGGGTGTGACTTGGATGCGACTTCAGATGGGTGCAACTTGGATGCAACTTTGGATGGGTGAGACTTGGACTATCCAAAGTCAGGATAGGAACAACTTTGATGTGACTTTGGATAGGAACAACTTTGATGTGACTTTGGATGGGTGGGACTTGGATGCGACTTTGGATGGGTGCGACTTGGATGTGACTTTGGTTTGGTGTGCCTTTGATGCAACTTTGGATGTCTATGATTTGGAAGTGACTTTGTTGATGTGACTTTGGATTGGTGTGACTTTGATGCAACTTGGATGGTGCGACTGGGATATGACTTTGGCTAGGAGCAACATTGATGCGACTTTGGATGTCTATGATTTGGAAGTGACTTTGTTGATGAGACTTTGGATGGGTGTGACTTGGATGTGACTTTGGATTGGTGTGACTTTGATGTGACTTTGGATTGGTGTGATTTTGATGCAACTTGGATGGTGCGACTGGGATATGACTTTGGCTAGGAGCAACTTTGATGCGATTTTGGATGGGTGCGACTTGGATGTGACTTTGAATGGGTGCAAATTTTGATGCAACTTTGGATTGGTGAAACTTGGATGCGATTTTGGATTGGTGTGACTTTGATGCAACTTGGATGTCTGACTTGGATGTAACTTTGTATAGAAGCAACTTTGATGAGATTTTGGATAGGAGCAACTTTGATGTGACTTTGGATGGGTGCAACTTGGATGCTTCTTGAGTGCTAGAGAGTGTAAAGTTGCATCAAAGTCACACTCATCCAAAGTCACATCAAAGACAATACTGTTGTGTATTGGCAAACCCCCCCCCCAAAAAAAAAAACCACAACAAAAAATGCACTACATGCATTTCAGCTGCGTGTCCATTGAAGTCTATAGAACCCAAAACACATCGTGTTGCATTTATAAAAGCCCTTGATGGTTTCCAAAAAACGCAGAATTGTGACCGTGTCCCATAGGAAACCATGGTAAATGGACTGTAGTGCGATTCTGTAAGATGCACTAAACATCGCAGATCGCTGTTCAGAGAGCAGCCAGTGTCCCCAGAGCCCATCCCACAACTTCCATCACTGGCCGGTCCTGCGATTTACTTCCAGGCTATCGGCCGATAATGAAAAGGACCGTGACCCCGGTTTGTAGAACCCCCCCCCCCTTGTCTTCAGTATTTCCTCCAGGAGGTCCCCCCTCCCCCACACTGATACCCCGACTCTCCCATTATCACGCCATGCTCTCGGGCTAGGGAGGTTTATTATGAGCGCGGTGTGATGAGGGAGCGGATACCCCCTAAGGGTACGGATTCCCCCAGCTGTGATGTACAGGCACGCCCCTTGCCCGCGTTTTCTCCCCTATGACGTCAACCCCCTTGAGCGCGGCCACGGTCGCCTGGGCGCACCCAGCGCGCTCCCGCGGCGTATCAAGGCGAGGCCGGTAGTGACGCGTGCGCAGCGCTTCCTGTGGCTGGCTGAGGTGTTTGATGGTCGGGCTCGGGGTGGTGGCCGCCTTCTGACGCTTCTCCTCTCACACGATCGCTCAGGGACAGCCGGTGTCAGCGGGGGGATCCTCGTAGCCTGTCCAGGGCTCTCTGTGCCGCCTCGGGCCTTTGGTTTACTTTTCTTCCTTCTTATTTCCCGGACGGAGAGCAGCCATGCAGGCCATCAAGTGTGTGGTGGTCGGAGACGGGTGAGTAGAGGCTCGGCCATCACAGACACCCTCTACCTATGTACATCACCCGGGGGGGAGGGGACATAACTCATCTCCTGGGGGAGGACTGGAACCCATCTATTCCAGGACTCATAGACTGTGCTGGGGGGGAAGTGGTCACGTTGTATCCAGTGATCTGGGGGGATTGTTCTAGTTGTATCCAGTGATTGGGGGGGTGTCATTCTAGTATCCAGTGGTCTGGGGGGGGGGGGGGGGGCGTTCTAGTTGCATCGAGTGGTCTGGCAGCGTTAGAACTAGTCGCATCCTGTGATCTGGGGGGGGGGGGACGTTCTAGTCGGCATCCAGTGATCTCGGGGGGGGGGGGTTCTTGTTGGTGTTAGGGGGCGTGTGGGAGGGGGGCTCTAGTTCGCATATCACAGTGATCTGGGGGGGGGCGTTCTAGTTCGCATCCAGTGATCTGGGGGGGGGGCGTTCTCGGGGGACGGGGGGGGGGGGAGTCGGGCGAGGGGAGGGGGGGGTGGGGGGGTCCAGTGCACTCTGGCGGGCCACGGGAGGGGGTGGGGGCGGGGGGTTGGGAGGTGAGTCGCATCCGGGGCGGGGGGGTGACGCGTTGGGGGGGGGAGGTTCTAGTGGGGGCGGTGTAGCATACAGTGTGATGCGGGGGGGGGTGTGGGTGGGGAAGGGGGGGGGGGGGCGGGAGTGGCGTGGCTATGTGGGGCGGCATCCAGTGATCTGTGGGGGGGGGGGGCGTGTCTAGTTGCATCCAGTGTGATCGGGGGGTAGGGGGGCGGCTGGGCGTTCTGAGTCGCATGGGGGAAGTGATCTGGGGGGGGGGGGGCGTTCTAGTTGCATCACAGTGATCTGGCGGGGGGGGGCGGGGCGTTTCGGGGGGGTGGGAGTTGCATCCGGGGTGGATCTGGGGGGGGGGGCTATCTAGTTGCGGTGGGGGGGCAGTGATCTCTGGGGGGGGGGGGGGGGGGCCGTTCTAGGGTTTGAGGGGGTCCGGGTGACGTCTGGGGGGGGGGGGGGGGGGGCGTTCTATAGTTGCATTCAGTGATCTGGGGGGGGGGGGGTTATTTCTAGTTGCATCCAGTGATCTGGGGGGGGGGCGCGTTCTAGTTGCTTCCAGTGATCTGGGGGGGGGGGGGGTCGTTCTTAGTTGCATCACAGTGATCTGGGGGGGGGGGGTGGTACGTTCTAGTGGCATCGTGATCTGGGGGGGGGGGGGGTCGTTCCGTTCTAGTTTGCATCCAGTGATCTGGGGGGGGGGGGGTCGTTCTAGTTGCATTCCAGTGATATGGGGGGGGGGGGGGGGTCGTTCTAGTTGCATCCAGTGATCTGGGAGTGTAGTTCAGGTTGTATGCAGTGATGGGGGGGGGGGGGGGTGTATGTAGTTCAGGTTGTATGCAGTGATGGGGGGGGGTGGGGGTTGTAGTTCTGGTCTGTATGCAGTGATGGGGGGGGTAGTAGTTCAGGTTGTATGCAGTGATGGGGGGGGTGTAGTTCAGGTTGTCATGCAGTGATGGGGGGGGTATGTAGTTCAGGTTGTATGCAGTGATGGGGGGGGGGTAGTTCAGGTTGTATGCAGTGATGGGGGGGGGGGGGGATGTAGTTCAGGGTTGTATGCAGTGGATGGGGGGGGGGGGGGGGGGGGGGGGGTTAAGGTGGGGTATGCAGGGATGGGGTGGGGGGGGGGTGTGGGGTTCTAGGTTGTATGCAGTGATGGGCGGGGGGGGGGGGTTTGTGTTCTAGTTCTAGGTTGTATGCAGTGATGGGGGGGGGGGGGTTGTAGCTTCAGGTTGTATGCAGTGATGGGGGGGGGTTTGTAGAATAGTTTCAGGTTGTATGCAGTGATGGGGGGCAGTGGGGGTGGTTCAGTTGGTCAGTGATTGGTCTCTAGCTTCAAGGTTGGATGCAGTGATGGGGGGGTGTAGTTCAGGTTGTATTGCATAGTGATGGGGGGGGTGTGTAGTTCAGGTTGTATGCAGTGATTGGGGGGGGGGGGGTGGTGTGTTCAGGTTGTATGCAGTGATCTGTATGCATCACAGGTACTGATGGTCCTCTCTGGGCCCCATGCACACTGGTAGGGCACCTGTAACATATGTACTCTTTTGGATGTTGGAATGCTCATGCAGACCCCAATATATGCAAACCAATATTGCGTTGAGATGCGTCCATTGATGTGTTTTTGATGCCGTTTGCATTGCGTTAACCCTTTGTGGACCCTTTTCTGTGTTTGTGGGTTCTTGTTTTATTGTTCGGCTAGTAAACACTTTCTGAACACTTCTCCGATGTGCTGTAAACCCCCGTGAGGAGCGTTTGTGAGAAATCTTTTGCAGTGGAATTGTCCCATTTGTGCATGTGAATGGAGGTGTGTTGGAGCGCGGTTAAAAGCCAGCTGTTCACTCTTTGGTATTTGGTGAACGCATGTACAGACGCTACAGGTGTGTTTACCATAGATTTGGATTAGAAGAAGCTGCCAAGCTTCAGGGCACCTCCCAGACTACCACAACACGGAGCTTAGTTTTGCCGCAAATTGCTACACGGTTTGCTGATTTGTGAACGGCTCTGTCCACCATCTATAATATCTGATGTTGACTGCTGTATGCTGGGTGTTTGGAAAGTAAGTGGCAGGATCACGCCAGCAATCTTCTTTCTTGTAACCACGTGTTGCAGGAAAGAAAAATTTCTTGTTTCCCTGATGGGGGTATCCCTCCCACTTTGTTATTGTATGCTGACAGTGGGGGTTTCCCATCAGTCAGTATACTAATGATCTAGCGGGCAGTGCTGGTGGCTATATAGCTGCCAGCAGACTAATTGAATGACGATAAAAAAAGCCAAACGGTTGGTTGTACCTAAGTCGATCAATGGTCTGTGAACTCCAGTATTACAACCATTAAGCCTGACCCATAGATGGATTGTAATTCTCCCCAGTCACTGCTGATAACTGGACACATTTTTGACACTGGGTCTATGGCCAGATTTTACTATGACTGTGTGTTGAACATTGGCCTTCGGTATTAATAATACCCCCCCCCCCAACTGGGGGTGTCAATAGCAGGCGTCGCATCTTGCGTTTTTGAAAAGCTGTCATCGCTCTGTGTCGATGTGCATGTTGCTGCCAGGACACCCCCCCCCACCCCCCCCCGCAGTCACTGTTCCATGTGTCATGTTTGCGTCACTTCATGTTGTCACGCCAAAATGTATTCATATAAAAGTGTGAAAAACATTGCACTGCTCCTGCACAAATGGATACAGACCGTAGGTTGCATTTTAGTGTGCCAGACTAGTGTAAATGGACCCCCCCCTTCCCATATGACCGTCGTGCTAGACTCAGATGTGGTGCAGGTTGTTCGCTGTGGGGAAAAGAAAAGATTGCTTATCAGTCACAGAGATTTCAACATGTTTACAAATCTGAGAATGTTAAAGAGCCCCTTAGTAAGTGCTGGTTATCACTTGTGAGTCAGGCTGTATACAGCAAGGGTGTCGGATTCCTGCTATCAGGCCCCTGCAGAGTGCCAAGGGATCCCTAACCCAGAGCAGTACCCGAAATGATTCCGCTATCAGGTCCCTGCAGAGTGCCAAAGGGATCCCTAACCAGAGCAGCCTGAAATGATCCCGCTATCAGGCCCCTGCAGAGTGCCAAAGGGATCCCTAACCCAGAGCAGCCTGAAATGATCCCGCTATCAGGCCCCTGCAGAGTGCCAAAGGGATCCCTAACCCAGAGCAGCCTGAAATGATCCCGCTATCAGGTCCCTGCAGAGTGCCACAGGGATCCCTAACCCAGAGCAGCCTGAAATGATCAGTATTGAGAAGTTGCCTAATCTGTAGCTGGGAGTTTCGTTTTGCACTAAATTCTATGATGGGTTTAATTTTGTGCTGAGAAATCACAATTGAAAGAGTTAAATGTTGGACCTGATGTGCACCCTCTGCTCTGGGGGGGGTGGCCTCTAATGTGGTGTGTGGTGCTGATTGTTGCTCTGTTCATGCCACACATCTTCTGCTTAGAAACGCAGCATTTCAGCACAGCACACCTCATATCGCATAGAGTGGAAGGAACTGTCATTTTGTGTGTTTTATAGTTGAGATAAATGTAAACCATGCAACGCATTGTAGCAGCCTATCACATCACCCCCTACTTGCATTGTAACAACGTATCACATCACCCCTACATGCGTTCTAACAACGTAGCGCATCGCCCTACATGCATTGTAACACGTAGCGCCTCACCCCTGCATGCATTGTAACAACGTATCGCCTCAACCCCTGCATGCATTGTAACAACGTATCGCCTCACCCCTGCATTGCATTGTAACAACGTATCGCCTCACCCCTGCATGCGCTGTAACAACGTATCGCCTCACCCCTGCATGCGCTGTGTAACAACGTATCGCTAACCCCTGCAAAATGCGCTGTAACAACGTATCGCCTCACCCCTGCATGCGCTTTGTAACAACGTATCGCCTCACCCCTGCATGCGCTGTAACAACGTATCGCCTCACCCCTGCATGCGCTGTAACAACGTATCGCCTCACCCCTGCATGCGCTGTAACAACGTATCGCCTCACCCCTGCATGCGCTGTAACAACGTATCGCCTCACCCCTGCATGCGCTGTAACAACGTATCGCCTCACCCCTGCATGCGCTGTAACAACGTATCGCCTCACCCCTACATGCATTGTAACAACGTATCGCCTCACCCCTGCATGCGCTGTAACAACATATCGCATCACCTCTACATGCATTGTAACAACGTATCGCCTCACCCCTGCATGCGCTGTAACATATCGCATCACCTCTACATGCATTGTAACAAACGTATCGCCTCACCCCTACACAATGTACAGCAGTATGCCTGCTTTTGAACGCGTGGGTTGGTGTGAAGGAGCCCTCAGTCCCAGGGTGAGCCGCCAACCTATACTAGTGGAAGTGCAAGTTTCTCCTTCTAGGTATGTTTTATGGAGAAAAACACCGGAGGACATGCTAGTCACTTCACTTTACCTGCCTGAAAGATCCTG